AACTTCACAGATTGTGAACATTTAAAGAAAAATACAAATATAATAAGGTAGTGAGCAGAGGTAGGCGATGGACAAGGATGCTCTCGAGGGCCCGCGGGGAAGTTTTGAAAACTTGACGAGGGACGGGACGATGAAGAGGCAAGAACTGCACGAGGCGAAGCCGGCGGGAAACATTTTTGCTTCTTAGCGAAAGTCGAAATGGAGATGGAATTCTTTTCAGTGCACTTGAAAAATATGTTTGTTTAGTAGAGGACATTTACCTTTCACACTATAGTTTCCTATTATATATATTTATATTATTATATTAGTCTACTATTAGTTTATTCTTTGACCTATTCCTCTCTGTTAAACTGCTAATACAACAATCTATTCAGTTTATCTATTTTTTCTGCCTTTTTCTCTTTTGTTTTTACTGTCGTTCTAATGTTCTTTGGTTTACTTGCGCATATGTATATCTAGGATTGGTCATCGACAATTTGTTATTATTAATATCTTAATGTTTAGTGCACCGGATTCAAGACAATTGATGAAGAAGCGCCGGCGAAAAACTTTGTCAATACTTGACGATGGATGAGGCGGTGACGGGGCAAAAAGCTTATGCGGCAGAGCCGGGGAAGAATTTTTGAGAACTTGACGAGGGACGGGACGATGTCGAAGCAAGAAGAGCACGAAGAGAAGCCCGCGAGGGAGCTAAAAACAGTCCATCGCCCACCTCGGACAATGAGTGCAGATACACTAATTCACCGTCTTCGTTGACGCCGTCTCTATGCGTCCGCGAAGTATCTTTGATGGTTATGAACATGAGAACCGTTACAGTTTAACAGGCAACTCTAGCAATTTATAATGAATTGCAAGAACAATATCCAACATCACTTGATTATGCCTGTTCCACTATTACAATCAGCCAACAGTATTTCATATCATTTTAAACCAAAATGACTGATTTTTCTCCATTTTTCGATCTTATTGAAAAAAAAACGAATGTAGATATTCAGTTGAATTAGACTGTTTTTATTCTATTCATTTCTCGACGCCATGTGAAGAGCAGTATTGTATTCTCCTTTTCACTTTCTTCTCTCCTTTCTCATTTTATCTCATTGTATACATCCATCGTTCTCTCACCGGCTATTTTCCGCTCATCACTCTCTCTTTGTCTTCTGTTCGTATATTTTTCTCCCTTTTGGTTCATGGATGTGTAAGAAAGAGTTACTCAGATCGTAGTTAAAGAAGTAGGCAGACGTGTGGATATATCCCTTTTATACACGTAATTCTCTTTGGATTAATAGCCATACGGCCTCAAAATACAGTCGGTTTAAGGAATTTATCAAAAACCCCGTCATACACCATAATCTATATCATTTTTATGAAGCGAAGATAATCAACTCATGAACACCGATAAACGTCTCCCTGATTGGGAAAAGAGCGAGGCTTTAAAACGACAAAAAATGTAAGTGCATAGTGTTGTTCTGTTGACTGAATGATCTATGTAATTTGTGCTTAGTGATATGGAACGCACTTCATTTGAACATCTTGCTAACGAAACTTTATTAGAAATATTTGATTTTATTTCGTCAGTCGATCTTCTGCTCTCATTTACCAACATTAATTCTCGCCTTTTATCTCTTATTAATAAATACACGACATGCATAAATTTAAGAGATGTATCTATTCGACAACATAATGCTGTTTTCTCTAAATTAATCGGCGATTTGAATAATAATGTCGTCGAAACATTGCATATTAATGGTCATACACATATCTACGACAAACTGTCTCAATTAACGTTTCTCCGTTCATTGTCAATTTATGATTTGACTAAATCACACGAATCCCTTACTTATATTGAACAATTTGCAAAACAACTATATGAGTTGAAAATTGAGTTTAATTTGAATTTTATGTCGTTTGTCACCCTAACACATCTGAGCGACTATGTGACCAAACTGTACTCGTATATATTTTCGGAACAATGTCATCTAGGTATGTATGATGAAAGAAGTAGGCATTCACTTACTGTAATTTATTCATTAGAAAAGTGTTCGTTGACATGTAAATCATTTATTTCCTGTGCAAGTTTTGACCAATATCATATAGCAAGCAAATTATGTCAGTTAAAAATAAGTTTGGCCGATTTCAATCAGTTTAATAATATGATAAGTTTAATACCGAATGTAACCGATTTGAGTGTATCGACCGATCATGGTAGGCGTGATGAAAAAGAGTATATATTAAGAACAAAATTAAATTGTTTGACAAAGTTCGAATTGTTTCGATATTCGCCAAAATACGACAACAGAAATGAAATGAAAGATCTTTATCTAATATTTCCACATGTAGTTTCTAATATTAGACAACTTAAATTTTCGATTAATGTTGGTGAGAATGACATGAAAGATGTAGGCAGCTATATGGAAAAGATACTTTTGAAACCATTGAAAAATCTTGAGAAACTGCAATTTCATATTATGGCTCGTCGTTCGTAAGTATATAAGTTTTTTTATTCACCACTGTTTAAAAATTGATTTCTCAAATTATAAGTGGCTGCGTTTTAAACTCAGCGGGCGTAAATATGATTGCGTTCTAAATCAAATAAGAGTCAATTCCTCTCGACTAGTAAAAACGAAAAGTTTTAGGAAGACTCGCTAGAGATCCACAGGCACCGAAAACCATGTTTGTTCTCTATTTTTCCCGAAGTTCTACGAGACAATTGGACGAGACTTAAACAGTTCTCTGGTAATGTGTATGATCAGCCCATCCAATTTTTGCTGAACACATAAGTCGTTTTCTTATTCTGTTACGTAGCTGATGATGACTGTAGTTTTAGTTGAAAACTTTTCCATTATTAAATAAAATACGAATGTAGTTGAGTTCTTCGTACAGATATTATTTACGTTTTCTCGACAAATGATGTTAGTAAACGTTTTGCGCTGGAATGGGCACAGTTTCCGTTCATTAAGAGTAAGCATGGTCCCCGAGATATACGTATGAACTTTGAATGTTGCCCTGCGATAATCTCATAACCTCATATCGCATTATGAAAAAACTAAACGCTGGTTTTGCCGATATATTCGCTAGTACGATCTTTCCAATAAGGATCTTAGCTAACTGTACAACTAATGGTATTGTGAGATATTTGTTCCTGTTAAAAATTTAAAAAAGCTCTGCCTTTTTTTGTGTTTTTACCAAAGGTTTCGTTTTCTCTTGGTTATACGGCAAACAGTCTAATGTGGGTTTATTACAAGTACTGTGATCGAAAAATCGAGCAAATTCGTGCTATATGAGTTCGGAACGCCCCCAACGAATCTGAGTAAATTTTCCCGGCATTACTTTTGTATAAAGTGACAAGAAAGAATGGAAGTGTCCGGTCGAAATTTAGTGAGACAAAGGTGAACTTACACCTTTTTTGCTCAGAACAACTTGGAATGAACGTTAAATTTCGACATAAATTGTCAGTTTCAGATGTAATTTACTATCACTAAATCCGAACGACATAACTGATACATTCAGAACTGATTATTGGCTATCTGAACACAAATGGCATGTCGGTTCATTCATTAATAAACAGCGCTATCACTTATGTACCGTACCGTTCATGTCCACGTACCTGCCTGATGTATCAGTCGAAAGTTTAGAGCATCGAACATCAAACGTGCCATCTGCTAAACACGATTTTTGGCATGTGCTGAGTATATCAACGTTGACATTCGTCGATCTGAAGAAACTTCGGGGTGAAATTTTCAGAAATTTGAAGCATGTACACGTGATACTGAATGGTACTGAGTGTTATATGAACGATCGTGAGAGTTATATACATCATTTCGATGTTCAACGAGAATTTGATTCCAAAATTCGCCCAGGAATCACTATCCAGTGGAAGAATGCTCGTAGGCTGAAAGCGGTGTTGAGTAGTTTGCCATGGAAACTAGAATGCATTAATGCTGACGGCTGTCATTTGGGCGATTTTATCAAAACCTCAGGGTGAGAATTTTTCATAATAGCGTTTTTTTAAACTGCTACCTTTTTATTTTTAGTCTCACTGACCATGAAATATGTAAGCTATTTTCGAATGTTGTTGAAATGCAATTGCTGAGTGACGGTTTACCCATGGAGATGATCAGCAAATATTTTCGAAATATTCGAATTATTAAGATGAACAAAATTAATCATCAATTTCTCTTTAATATTGGCTGCCTTGAATCTGCTTTACCCAGGATGAAATATCTCATTTATTTGGATATACGATCAGTCATTAGTGCCACATCCATATCATACATCAATAGTGGAAGAATCAACCAGATAATAGAGAACAATGGACGTACAAAGAATGACTATGAAGTTGACTTTCAAGGACGTTTGAGAATTTGGTTGTAGACAGCTGGTTCGCTTATTTGCAAAATTGTCCGACTAGCGTTCACTCGTTTCCGATTTTATCTACAAAGTATTTTAAAAAATCTGCTCTCTGATCTGATATCAACATTTAATTTTAAAGTGAAAAATTCTAGAGTATAGGGAATGGAAATTCTTTCCATAAGTATCGAAAGGTTGAGTTTATAAAGGCTGCTTTAGCGCCCTCATAAAATGACATTTCTTTGTGAAAAAAGATCGATCTTCAGAAGAGCACGTTGTTCAATAGCTCAAAGTGTCTTTCGAATCTACTTAAGTAGATGTCTTGAAAAGAATGAATTTAACAGTTTTCCTCAAATACACACTGCAAAAATACGGAATTGCCACCTTCAGAAGGTGTTGGTAACGGCTGTTGCCACCTTCAGGCATAGTAGTAAGCCAGAAGGTCACAATAGCCGTTAGTGACACCTTCTGACGATAGCTCCTTGGTGCCATCTGCAGATAAAGGGACGGATAAATAGAGGATTCCCTACGACAAAAGACCCCTCCCCACATGTTACAAGACGCCTCTTAGTTGCCACCAGTTGTGCCTTACGAGGGAACATTCCCAGCTGTCCAACCCCAATTTCTTTCAAACATACATCAATCGATAGCCTATATCGAGATAATAAAAAGCCTAAAAGGATTTAATCCCGTGGCTCTTGAAGATCCGTTTTTCTGTAGAACCAGTTTTCCAGAAACTCTAAAAAACTAACCAAAACGTTTCTTAACAAGGCATGTTTGTAGCCCGGAAATTTCTGATTAAAATGAGGCGTCTCCTAGCCCCTAAATGTTCATTGTCAGCTCAAAGCAATAGAAATAAGACGAAATCAACACTAGGGCTTTTCTTGCAAATTCTATAACTTTGAAATAAAAGATCGTGTAGAGCCGGGAGACGTCTGATTTTAATCAGAAATTTCCGGACTACAATCATGCCTTGTTAAGAAACGTTTTGGTTAGTTTTTTAGAGTTTCTGGAAAACCGGATCTTCAAGAGCCATGGGGATAAATCCTTTTTACTATCTCGATATAGGCTATCGATTGATGTATGTTTGAAAGAAATCGGGGTTGGACAGCTGGGAATGTTCCCTGTGTTTTTCTAATGGGAAACGTAAAAAAGTAGAAAACTTTCACTATTAAATCTCACAAAATTATCAAAAAATACATCAGATAGAAGAAATCGTCCCTTTTTGTATATTATGATGATTGCTATATATA